CTGCTGCTGCTGCTGCTGCTGCTGCTGCTGCTGCTGCTGTTGGCGGCGGTGGTGGTGCTGCTGCTGATGGTGGTGGTGCTGCTGCTGCTGTAGTTATTGCTGCTGCTATTGCTGTTGTTGTTATTGCTGCTGCTGCAGGAGTTGCTGCTGCTGCTGCTGCTGCAGGAGTTGCTGCTGCTGCTGCAGGAGTTGCGGCTGCTGTTGCTGCTGCTGCTGCTGCTGTTGCTGCTGCTGTTGCTGCTGCTCCGCATCTTGCACACCTTACTGCTGTTTGATCTACTGCAGCAGCAGCAGCTGCTGCTGTTCCTTCTTCTCCTCCTCCTCTTCCCGCTGCTGCTGCTGCTGCTGCTGCAGCAGCAGCTGTTGCTGCTGCTTCTGCTGCTGCTTTAGCTTTGCTTCTTTAAGGAGTTGTGTGGCTAGTGTGTATACATAGAGAATCTGCATTTGTTTGTTGGTGAGCTGTCTCCATTCTAAAAAGGAGACAGTTGAGAGAGAGAAACCCAAAGAAGAAAGGAGACAATGTTTAATGTTTGTTGCTGCTGTTTGCATGCATGTATTTCTGTAGTAGTGTGAGGGCCCCAATATATCTATAACAGCAAAAGGAGACAGCAGCAGATCTATAGATATACATCCTGCTGCTGCTTCGCTGCTGTGGGGTATTGCTGCAGAAAGGAGACAGTTGGAGACAGCTCGATGCAGCAGCGAAGAGTTTTTTATATTAAACTTTTTTTTATAAAGAGAAACGGAGACAGCACGAGACAGAAAGGAGACAGTTTGTTTATCTAGTATTTTATATATATCTCTTCTCTTTGTATTTATATATATATATAACTGCTGCAGTCTGTATACACTTGCTGCTGATAGCTGCTGCTGCTGCTGCTGCAGCAGATGCATGCAACCCAGCAGCAAACCATCAAACACTCGAATGTCACTCTCCCCGTGCTGCAGCAGCTCCTGCTGCTGCTCCTCCTGCTGCTGCTGCTGCTGCTGCTGCTGCTGCTGCTGCTGCTGCTGCTGCTGTTCTTGTCGTAGACTTAGAGCTGCTGTTATATCCTCGTCTTCCTCCTCTGTCTGCTGCTGCTGCAGCAGCACCTGCTGCTGCTGCTGCTGCTGCTGCTGCTGCTGCTGCTGCTGCTGCTGCTGGTGGGGTATTATAATAAGTTGGTGGTGTATAAGCATAACAGCATAAATAACGTTTGCTGCTTGCTGCTGCTTGAGCTCGTGCATGCGTTTATATATTTCTTTTCCGAGCTGCCTATACACCTGAAACTCCCTAAAAGAAAGAGAAACAAAACCCAGAAAAAGAGAACACAAAGAAAAAGGAGACAGTTCTCCCCTGCTGCTGCTGCTGCTGCTGCTGCTGTTGCTGCTGCTGGTGCTGCTGATGTGCTGCAGCAGCAACCTGCTCAGCTGCTGCAGCAGCCTGGTGTCTCGCCACCGCAGCTGCTGCAGCGCAGCAACAAAAGGAGACAGAGAGACAGCAGAAAGAGAGACAATGTTTACCCGCAGCTGCAGCACAGCAGCACGAATAAACAAATCAGAGACAGCAGCAGGGGGGGCCCCCCTAGATACAGAAGAAAGGAGACAAAGGAGACAATCGATAGGCATGTGGGGGGCCCTTGCTGCTGCCTGCTGCTGCAGCAGCAACCAAAAGGGTTTACTCTTTAGCTGCAAGGAGACAGCTGCTCGTGCGAGGAGAGACAGAGAAAAAGAAGAAAACTGCTGCGGTCGTTGCTGCTGCTGCTGCTGCTGCTGCTTTTGCTTCTGCTGCTGCTGCTGCTGCTGCTGTTGCTGCTGCGGTTGCTGCTGCTGCTGCTGCTGCAGCAGCAGCACCGCTTGTCTTTCTATCAAACGGCAGAAATCCTTGTCTGCTGCTTTTGCTGCAGCAACTGCATGCGCTAGATAAGCAATAGATTGCGGCGTCGCTCTGCTGCTGCTGCTGCTGCTGCTGCTGCTGCTGCTGCTGGTGCTGGTGTGTCTGTCTCCTGCAGCAGAAGAGGAGACAGCTGGTGATGAAGCAATATATTTTAATTTATATTTTGCTGCTTCTCTCAATACAGCATAA